TATATATATATATATATATATATATATGTAAAATCTTGTGAAAGTTAATAACTGTTTGCTGCCATAGACCTTCCAAGCAGAATCTATCTCTGAAAAAGAATTCCCCACTCCTAAAATAACATTTGATGGGCAACAGATGTTGTTTCAATGAACCCTTGTTCAGCTTAGTGAGCTGAACTAAGAATATATTTTGATCTGTACGAGGCACAGTCCAGAAAAGAGAAGTAACTACGCATAGCTTTGGTGTTGATGTTGGTTGCAGTTTCAATATAGTTATTTACTCTGTAAAGCTTCTCTCATAAGGCAGAACGCAAATGAGCTTGTAATTAATCGTTTCTAAGGGTTGGAGGATGCCATTCATGCTGCTTATGAAAAAACTTTAGTTTTTTGTAGTCTAAGAATGTATGGAGAACAGCAGTTCAATGGGTAGCCATAACCTTTTGAGTGATGTGTGTCCCGGCGAGGATTTGCGAGTTCTACCGCTCAGTTTCTCCACTCGTTAAGGGACGATCAGGTCATTGTTCAAGAATGACAAGCACTCAATATCTGGAAATGACTAAATAATGAAGTGCCTGGATGCTATAGAAATGCTGAGGAGAAAAGGAGATTAATTTAAAACCAGAATCGAGTACAAACATGACCTTGTTTTTGTAAATCTAAGGAGTAGGAAAAGAAATTACACCTAAAGCTTTGTTCCTAGGGCTGAGAATTGGAAAACATATCAATATTAGGATGTTTCGGATGGGAAAAAAGGCCTGTTTATTACAACCTCTTGTCTGTGGAGAAGAGAAAAATTCCTTCCGCTGAAAGAATATAGTTAGTAAAGATTTAAATGACGAGAATGGATGGGCCAAGTTTTTATTCCTTTGCCTTTAGGCAGGACTAGAGCTAAGCCCTCTCAGAGAAGCGAACAAATGTTTGGTCCCCAAAATCTCCAGGTAAGCATGCTAAAAATGAAAAAGAGCAGATGGGAAAAACTCAGGGGTCTTGAAATTAATAAAAGTCAGTTCCAGCTGGTGTAATTTCAGTTAAAATTCATAGCAAAATTCACTTTGCTATTGGGCAAATAGCCCAACAGCAAAACTTCAGAGGATGTGGTATTTGGCACTAATTTTCTCTGAAAATTTCACTTGGTAGTAGTGTCTGATCATTGTTCTCTTCACCTCCTGGTCATCTCTTTGGTAAGAGAGGGAGACATCCTCCTGAGTTCTAAGATGACTGAACACAGGACATTTGACACTGGACACATGGGATTAAATAGCACCTTATTAGTCACCTATTCTAACAGCCAAGGAAGAAGGACACTGCCCGCCATGTAGGGCCACACAGAGGAGGAATTCTGAAACAGTGAGCAAGAGGAGCTACTGCGGACAGGCTTTGTAGTAACAAGAGGGTGAGATGTACTCATTCTCAGAGGAGGGGATGATTAGCTTGTTTCAGTGGCTTTGGGTTGGCAGGGAACTGAAATCTGTTTGGTTGAGGACCAGGTAGAGTGCAGCTCGCCCAGCTGTACAGGGACTAGGTGGGGAGACTTTTCCACTGGGGGTGTGGGAGTAGCAGGTAAAAGTAGGAGAACTCACAGGCCTCTGGGACCCTGAGAAGCTCACAGGTGTTCAGGAAGCCATGAAATCTTAGGCCTTACAAGCTTGTCATTCATACAAGCTATACTGGCTCATTCGATGTTCACGTTCCTTGGCTTTACCAGACCTCTAAGAGTGATGTCTTTGCACACCTGTTGAATCTCACATGAAAAGAGATGCTTTTGACTGGATTGATAAACAGTTTTAACAGAACAGTTTTAACAGGCTTAAGCAGTTGTGCAGCAGTACTCACAGGCCAAAGCTATGTAATTAGCTGGATGATTATGCAGAAGTATCCTTTGCTACTTGCTTCCACATGAATGAAAACAGGAAGAGAGACCTAAGTCATCCAGGCAAATTACATATTTAACTCTTCACCTAATTTTAATTTGCCATGAGGTGAATGCTGACCAACTTCAGAGTTACAGCCAAGGGCCAAAAAAAGGTCTAGCCTACTGAAATAATGTTGTTCCTGCCTCCTACTTTTCAAGTAGAATTATGTCAGGAAACACAGCCAGGTCTGCCTATCTCTCATTTTCCCTGGGATGTAACAAGTGAGAAGAAATAACATGGAGAGGCCAATAGTTTCAGGCAGACCTTGACACCTGAAGTTAATGCTGGGCTGTTACAAAAATCTCAGGTAAGACATTCGATCTTTCTGAATCCCAAGTTTTATACCTTTTTTTTAATGAGGAAATCAAACTAGACCAAGAGTTTTAAAGTATTTTTCCATAGCAAAACCATTGTTTCAAACAAAATTTAAAGTCATTCTATAAAACAGATAGAAATGAAGCTTCTTTGTTTGAATCCAATAAAGGGAGCTCAAGCCCACTTGACCTGACTACCCCCTCGCCTTTGCTCCTTCTCTATCCGCCCCCTCACCCCAAGATTCCTGAAGTACTTCCTTGAAAGCTTAGGGCTTCTTGGAACCCAGTTCGAAAACCAGCAGATGAGACACTACCCAAGGTTCCTTCCAGCTTTCAGCTGAATGGAGACAACTGCAGACTATGGAGTCAGACTGAGGTTCACATCCTAGTTCCGTCACTTCCTATGACCGATTTTCCCGTTAGTAAAGTGAAGACAAAAATAGCTCTACTGCAGAACAATTGTTAGGTGAGGAAGGCATGTAAAGCGGCTAGCTCTCACCAGTGGGGACTTCTACGTGGTGGCTGCGGTAAAGGTTATGCCTCTAGCTGGAGCAACACATCGTGTGGGAAGATCCTATCCTTGAACTACTAAATTGCAACGAGACCTCTGTTATTCCTGAGGCTCCAGTCTCAAGAACTTGAGGCTAAAATTCCTCTTTAAAACCTGAGTGAGTTTTTATTGTTCCAAATTAGTGGAGGAGGGAAAATTCTTCTAATTCACTGAACACTCTGTATGCCTTCGAGAGCATGTGCCGGGTAGACACACCCCAAGTCTCTTAAATGACACCATGGCTGATCCAGCCACCCCTGATGGAATTTAAAGTACATTGCTTTCATCAAAGAATAACAGGGGAGATGTCAGTAAGAACCCTTTAACACTAAGCCACAAGACATTCAGTACCTAACAGCTCCCGTTCGATATTTCATCCCTCGTCATAAAACAATTCAGCAGAGGAGCTGCTGTTCATTTGTTGAGCGGCTGCTGTGGTAGCCTGCATTCTTTCCACAGCCGAGGGGTTCCCCCTGGAAAATGCATCCCAGAAGTGTGTGATTTCTGAAAACCATACCTTTGGGGAATTTTCCTGGCATCCTATTCAAAGCAAGCACCACTTTATGGGTCTTCTAATGTGCAGTACAGCGGCCGAGTCCATCTCGGCATCCCTCACACACTTACACTGTAAAGGGGCTGACTCAAAGTTTAGACACTCTTCACCACGAAAACTCAGACGCTCCTGGCCACGTTTTATAAAGCTTTCTACAAATTATAAGAGTTTGTAAACATACATCACAGTGAAGGGTATCACAACCCCCCATAAGCCTACCCCACGATGTCAACGTCAACACTTTGCCGCGTGGCAGCTTTCACCTGAGTCTGTGGAGGTGACATGAGGCCTGGGTCACTGCCAGACTGATGGCCCGGGTTAAAATCAGGTCAGCTGGCAGTCAAACTCAGTAAACACTCATTAAGTGCTTCAGGCAGCCCAGCCACCCCGGAGAACCACGCAGGTCCCCAACTCTATGAAGTCACACAACATGTGAGGAATGACAACAAAAAAGCAGAATCGAAACTGGGGGAGGCTTTTGGGGCAAAAATGGGATCTGAACTAAAGTTTGAAGGAAGTGGAAATGGAGACATTCCCGGCCGAGGAAGGGGATGTGTGGAAGGGTGGGAGGTGAAGCGCCAGCCGTTTGGGTGACTGACTCATGTTCGAACGCCCGGGGTAGGTGAGGCAGCAGGAAATCCGCGTGCAGGCCAATGGAAGCTTTGAATGCCAGGATGAGGGAGTTCCTTACTGTTGGGGAGCAGTACCGGGAACGGGACAGGACAATAGTAATCTAATGAAAACAGGTGGGGTGGGAAGGTGGCAGAGGTGACCGGAAGCTCCGGGGTAAAGAACTCGCCTCCTGGGTTATTGCTGTCACCAGGAAAAGAGCTGAGACGGATGGAGGATTAATATAGAGGGTTGGCCCTGACACAGGGAACTCCCTACAAACTGTCATTAAGAAAACAAGAGGCCAGGAAGCAAGAAAAGTGGCAGAAGCACCTGGTCTGACTCTAAGAAACATCACTGTTTACTAAGCACTTGGTGTCTGGAACTCCTGCCTTTCCAAATACCACATCTTCCCCATCCACTCCATCCTGCCACAGGTGGCTACTGTGCTGGGTGCCGGGGAAGGGGCCAGAACGCGCCCCGGGAAACCCTGACTCCCCTCCCTCCACCTTCGCTCCTCCCCCCAGCGGCCCCCCCACCCCCACAACCCCCACAACCCCCCCACCTCCCTGGCCGCCGCCGGCGGCCAGCTGCAGCTCCCTGTTTGTTTGCGGAGGTTTGCATGCACAGATTGAGTTGCCTTTTTTCCCAGTCAGTTCAACAGTGTCCCGAAATTCACCCTCAGTGTAACTTCTGCCTCTGCTCCTCCTCTTCTTGGAACTGCCTTTGTTTGGCAGCGGTGGTTCTATGGGGGTGTGTGATGATTATAATCCTCGGGCTTATATAACTCTCTTCATCTTACAAGCACTTGGCAGACTGTCCCTAATGAAGCTTCTGACTGGTGTCAGGCCTGGTGGCTGAAGCGGCTAATAGGAAACCCCAGCTTGACGCTCAGAGGCCAGGAGGCCAGGAGGCCAGGGAGGAAGGGCAGCGAGGGTCTGAGGCCAGGCCTTCCTGGCTGCCGCCCCCCCCCACCCCCGGGAGGTAGGGGAGTTAAGGAACAATGACTCTCGCCTTCAGGAGGAAGAAGGTGGTGTCACCTTATCTCTGCTCCTCTGCAGGGTGCCAGTGCCCAAGGCCTGTCCTCTAGAGAAGACTTTGAAGGCAGCGGTTGTAAGTATGATGCTCTGCTTTTTCTTTAAAAAGGAAGGACAGGGACTTTCTTTGCTGTCTAGTCCATTTCATGTTACTTATTCACTCCCCTCATTCAGATTCTTAGATGATGGAAAGTGTGTTTCTGGCCAAAGCGCTCCACCCAGTTTTGTCCCTCCTAAATAAACATTATGGGAGGAGTATGAGGTTTCTGTGATAATTCACTGAACCAGATAGCACCCAGGCGAGGTGCTGAAATTGGCCGCTTTCACCAGGTCCTGGTGGTGCCTGGCTGTTTCACACACATTTCACCCTAGAGAGGAGCCTTGGCTGTTCACCTGGCTTGTTAGGCAACAACTTGGATCTTCAGTTTCCCTGCTTTCGTGCTCACAGTTTCAGACAAATATAACTGTTGGAATACTTTTTTCACACTGTAAACTAGATGCCATCTCTCCTCATAGGCTCGAAACTTGCAGCAGTTTGTATAAACTCTATAAAACACTGGGACTCCAGTGGACCAGGGAATTGTTAAGTGTTTCACTGCGTAGCTGCAGGGTTTAAAGATGAAAGGAACATGGTCTGGGAAGACCCAAAGCTTATGACGCTGTAAAGAATGCGGAATGAACAGTGTGTACATCTCATAGATGATGCTCATTGCTTTGAGAAATTGTCTTTCAACAAGTGGGGAGTTTCAAACTCTTGAATTAGCCTGAGGAGCATATGATTTCTGCACACGTTAGAAAGTATGATTTGCTAATCGAACAAGCTGAGGAAATAAAGTTCTATTTGGGGTAGTTGTACATTTTACATTTATAAAACCATGATTGTATCGTAGTACACTATGAGATACAGAAAATTCCTGTCTCTGCTTCAGGTGAGAAAACTAGGGGATGTAATGTGGTAATAATGTAGACAAGCAAGACCTCTCACTTTTAACAACATACGTGCTCTGATTAACTGAGCTTGTCTTCAGATATACAGATGTGCAAACAACAATAATGTGTGTATATGTGTGTGTGTGTATGAAATATATATATTTAATTATCCTGAACACTTACATTTGTTTTATCTATCTAATGCTCAGTATTTTACACAGTAGTATAATACCCAAAATAGTCCAACTGGAAAGATTTTTTATCAAGTTTCATAATGCAATAAAGTTATTTTTTCATTATCCAATAAGCATGGGAAACATAATAAAATTATGTTTATATTTAAGAGTTTGTTTATATGGCATTTCCACTCAGAATTCTTTGGGGCTTCCAAAAATTCTAGGGCATAATTAAAGATGAAAATGAGACAGAATTCTAGTCGTTTTTACCCCTAAATTTAAAAGTGATCTGTCAACACTAAATTCTATACTCTAGCTAATTTAATTAACCAAGATCAGCCACATAAGCTCAATGTTAGCCCCAAAGGTATACTAAGCCATAGCAGAAGGAACACAAACTCTGATGGGATCCAATTTGAGGCTTGTTTTTTTTGCCTTTTGCCATCACCTGGTTATATGACCAGCAGCAAGATCTTTTAAGATTTTCAGCTTCAGGTTTCACCTCTATTAAATAAGATCAAGACTATTAACCCCAAGGAGAGGATTGTTGAGAGGAATAGAAGGAAGTAATATGTGTAAAATATCTGGCACAGTGTCTGAAAATAGCGGTGTTTCACTCAATTTTAGGGCTTTTCTATTAACTCTTTTTTATTATTTTTTGATTCAGTTCCTTTATTTATTGAGCATCTGTTACGTACTGCCTGTTATGCTGAGCATTAGTGATTCAAAGGTGAACAAGATTACTATCCTGCCCTGGAAGAGGTCATAGTCTGAGGAGACAGGAAATTTTCTTACCAGTATAATAGCTGCAGAAACAAAAGTGAGTTCAAGATTAAGTGGCAGAATGGAGGCCAGAGTGATTATCTCTCCTAGTGAAAGTCAAAGGAACTTTCACAAAGATGATGTTGATTGTGTGCCTGTCCTTCTGCAGCAGGAATGCGGAAGGACGTTCCCAATGGGAAGAGCTTTGGACAGCAGGAGGGGACAGGGAACCCTGGGGACAGGAGCTGGTTTCAATTGGTGCTACAGTGTTGAACAGAAGGGAGCTGCAGAGTTAGTCAAGGGCCCAGTCTTAGGTGTTCAGGTGCTTCATGCCGAGGTGTTTGGACCAATTCCTGTAGTGAAACTCAAAAGTGGACCAGCTCGTGATCCACAAAAAGTTTGTTTTGTGGGTTCACATCGATGTATAAAGCTTGGGCTGAAATGTAAGTCAACTACAGCATTAAGACATTGTTTGGGTCAACAGACTGTTGTTTTTTTAATTGTTCGTTTGTAGCAAAGCCATCTGAGTGATGGGAGCGTTACAACACAAGCTCCTTAACTTGCTCAGGTTGGGCACTTTCAGGATCACTCATTGGCGGGGCAACAAGGGAGGACTTCACATGGGACTGAGAAGGTGGACCGTAATTATGATCAATGTTTGAGGGAGATTTCATGTAGATCACATACTGTCCAGTGTGGAGTTTGGGTTGGCAAATGCCTGTGGGTGACCATACTATAAGCTGGGAGTCCAGTTAAAAGACAAGTACAGAATACAGGTGAGAAAAGCTGAGATCCTGAGCAGGGCAGGTAGACAGTAGGGCACAGATCCAGAGATGTTTAGAAGGTAGAACATTCTCAGCCTGGGGACTGAATGAATGGAAAGGAAATGTCCATGATGGTTAGTTTGGGCTTAGGCCACTGGGTAGCTCTCATGGAATCCCGTAAAACAAGAGGAGGCACACATATACAGGAGAAAATTGAGTTACTTGGTTGAGATGTCAGGAAGCAGTTAGATTGCAATACTGAGTAAAAATCAAAAGTAGTTTTAAAAAATTTTTTAAACTGCTAAATATTTCTTGGAAAATTTAAAGAGAAATAAAGTCTGGACTCTCCCTACTATGTTCAATGCCTCCCCTAAATGTCAGGATCACCAGCCTCTGAGCTTTCATCTTGTATCCCTGCTGTTGAGTAGATGATTTTCCCATTAACTTTTCAACAAGAAGGCCAGGTCTAGGGCAGTCTCGCCAATAGCTATGTATACCCTCAGAAACAAGGTAATTGTTACCTCTGCTGACCCTTCAGAAATGAGCAGAGACAAGGGGAACAAATTGTGGACTAATAGAATATTTATTCATAAAGAATGCATATTTATTCATGAAGAAGCAGTCCTTTCCTTAGTGGGCTCTTTCACTTCCCTTGAATTAGGGAACCTGCTCGGAGACTAGAGTAAAGGAGGTAAATTCTTAGCCTAAAGCATTGCTTAGCCTACAACCTTTCCCTCCTCCTTCAGCGTGAGCAGGAAGTTTTTCCCATGTGCTTGAATGGTACAAAATAGGGAAGAAGGGGTGGGTAACATTTGTGAATTTTTCAATGATGGCAAGTGGAAGAACTTTAACACTTAGAATGAATAGAAAACAGCCTGATTAGCAGACAGGAAGCTGCGGCTTTTTAAGTCTTTGAGGTCTGATTACTTGATAACCTTAAGTTTTTTGTTTTTTTTTTTTAAGATTTTACTTATTTATCTTTAGAGGGGAAGGGAAGGAGAGAGGGAGAGAAACATCAATGTATGGTTGCCTTTTGTGCGCCCCCTGCTGGGAACTGGCCTGCAGGCAACCAGCCTGCAATCCAGGCATGTGCCCCGACTGGGAATCGAACCGTGATTGTCTAGTTCGCAGGCCCACGCTCAATCCACTGAGCTACACCAGCCAGGGCTGATAACCTTAGTTTTTGTATAACCTTACAACTATCTCCCACTCTGCACTCAGTCTTCTGTGGCAAAGCTTTGACCAGATTTCCTGGATTTCAGAGGTCTTACCCCACCTAAACACTTCAGAGCAAATGCCATTTATTACAGAAGGGGCTTAGCCCCAGACTTCATGACTAGTTTTGAAAAGTCACATAATATGTCTTCTGATGGGCAAAATGTATCAACCCATGAATAAACCCATTTATATGCCAGGTATAAACGAGCCTGGCATGGATTTAAGAACCTATGTCTACCTGTAAATATAAAGAGTTTCATCACTCATCAAAAAGATAATATAGGTGTAAAAAGGGAGGGAAAATGATAGCATTTGGTTACAATCTGAATTCTATTTGGCTCCTGATGGCACACTTCAAAATTCTCCAAACTCCAGAAGTTATTTTTGGCTTTGAAATTATTTTTTTAAAGGATTCTATTGCTGCTAAAAACCTTTCTCCATAAAACAACAAAATAAATGAAGAATCCTGAAAAGGAACTGTGACTGTCTCAGTTAGGCAACATAATCAACTATATAATCAAATATATAGTTTGGAATCAGATGAGCTTGCATCATGGGAAAGCTTATTGTTTAAGAAAGGAGCAGGGTATACTGGGGGATTTCCATTAGCACAGTTGAAAGAATGGAGAGTATACTGAGCTTCCATATATGGTGCTGGACCTTCCTCAGTTACAGTCATGGCTTTATAAGCAAGGGCTACAACTTCACAGTCTTTTGGGTTCGCTGGCATCACGGTCCCCTGCAGGCTGGGTGCTGCCCGAGCCACCGTGCTCTGTAGGCAGTGTTTGAAGAGTGGATAGGGTACAGCTGTGCAGTCCCCCAGACACCTGAGTTCAGAATATTTTTGCATTGGCTTTCTTTCTGAGCTCCATGGAAAGCTGGAAGCTCCCCAAGTCTCTCTTGGGTTTGGCTTCCTGTTCACATGTTTTGTGGTCTCATGTCATTGTGCATGAAGTAATCGTCCCACATGCGTGCACCGTCACCACAGCAAGATTCGTGCGGTTCAATGCAAGTTTTCTAACAAGGACATTTTGGACCTTCCAACAACTCCTTGGGGAAAGCAGTTTGGAACCAGTTATTTATTACTTAAGAAGGCCAAGGGAACAAGGGCAGAAGGCACTTCTGCAGCAAGACTAAAGCCATTTGGAGGAGACAATTAAAGTGCAACTGCTGAAGAAAAATAAACTTTTACCTTACACATCTGTCCAAATGTATATGTGTGTACAGCATAGAAAAATACCTCCAGTTCACAGTTTAAAAATATCAGTTACTGTTTCAGCATTTCACCATGAATGGTGCTAGTGTTTTCCACTGAGGACTGTTATTTTAGTGACATTTTTCTGCAGCAAAATCTGATGAGTTTACGAAGTTTGAGAGCCAGGAAATGCAGCTCAGTTTCTGAACAACTGAGAAAGCCAAGAGAGTTAAGTGCAATCATCTACTTGCTTTATGGCGTGGATTCATAAGTGCTAAGTGCAATAACACTAATAGAGAGAGAGCAGCCAAACCAAACTTTTCAAGTACAGCTCTTAAACCACCAAGCTTAACTTCCCACCGTATTATCAGCAGGTGAAATTCTGGCACACACCCACACTTAGTTATGGACGGTAGTGTCAAATCAATGGGCGGACGTGCCAAAGTTTTATAGAATTTTCGAATGGGGAGGAATCTGGAGGTCTTCCAACCTTATATTTTATTTTACCAACAAAGAAACTGAGACTCATGAAACGAACTCTCTCTCCCTTTCTTTCTCCGAACACAAACATGCACATTTCTGAGTTTTGTGCTGAGTCATTGCTGACAGAAAATGTCATCGCTCCGGCTTAAGAAAAAGGAAGGGCAAATGACCCAGAACTAGGCCACTGGTCCCCCGTGCCATTCAGGTTTGTGTGGCCCAGCTTCAGGGCTGTGGGCCTCCAATTTACCCTTGCTTCGAGAACCATTCAGGGTCTTGGTTACATATTTTTGGCCGAAACGTTACTAAGCTCCGAAACAAACCCAGGATTGCTATGTGACTAGGTCCTGACTATCCAGCGATGCTGTCAGTTCGAGGTAGTTGCTGGGGCCACACTAAGATGAAACTATAGAATATGGACAGAGCCTGAGGTAAAAAACCCTCCCCCAGAGAACCCTTAAGACTTTCCCAGAGAGATGAGACCTTGACTGTGCAGGCGGCGGAAACTCTATAACTAAATGCTGCATTGTGTGGCACAGATTTGAAGTGTTGTAGGACTGCTAGTGAGAGAAATCAATGAAAATTGAGGTTGTCAGGATATGGGACTTCAGCCAATCCCAGAATGGTGCTTAAAATTTGCATACGTGGAGGAAGTAACAGTAGACTTTTCAAGGTAAAGAACGACAGAAATGAAAGCTTGAAGGGAGTCTGGTGGGAGGGCCCAGAGGAAGCCGGGCTGATTGCTGCCCCCCTGCATCTTCCAGCCCCATCAGTGGACCACGGGGCCCTCACCATTGACTTGCATACCTCCAAGACCTAGGTATAAATGACTTGAATTATATTTATATAACTGTCAATCCACATAATAATATCACTATATTCAGATCATTGAAAATCCAAAATAAATTGCTAAGTAAATAAAAAACAAAACCATAAACCAATAATGTCCTAAAGAATGATATTAATGACTTTGCAAATGATGTTATTTTGTTGAAACTAAAAAATAAATTTATTTTAACCAAGTGTTCCTTAATGAAATTCTTAAAAAGAAATATTTTCCTAAACATTTCTATTTGCACATTTAGTAGTCTGCCCATTGGTAACGAATTATCACCAGTTGGAACTTATAAAGGCCGAAGGGACCCAGGCAGTACCTCAGCTGGGGTCAAGGTTATGGGTCTGAGAACTCTGCTGGCTCTGTCTTCCTATCATCTTGCTCTATTCTGGCAAATATGACTTCATACAGCGCAGCAGGAAGTATTTGACTCTTGCGAGTACACACAAGGCAGCCAGGCATTTAGGCTGCCTTAGTTCTTTCTTTAGTAGCCTGTAGCAACTTAATTATTACATTATTGTCCTATCCATTATAACAATGATAAATCAAAATCTCCATTTATACAATTTATGAAAACGCTGGTCTTATGCTATGAAAAATGTCTTTTGATTGCAAATAACCACTACAGTGGAAGTTGTATCATTATTGCTGGCTGAAAAAAAAACTCAGTCCAAGTAATAAATATTGCCAGTGTTTATTGGATGCTTATCATGGGCCACAAACTCCTCTAAATTTTTTTACATGGATATTTGCTTGTAATCCTCACATCAACCCTATTAGGTAGATATTATATTTAATCTCCATTTTTTCAGAGGAGGATACTGAGGCACAGAGAAATTAAAGAACTCATTCAAGGCCAATAAATGCTGTAGCCTGAAATTCAGACATCTAATTCCAGGACCTGCTGCTCCCTGTAGAAGATCCAGAATAATCACAGAAAGTTGTGATTTTAACATTGGGCTATGCCAGCATGACCACAGCCAGAGGCTTACAGCCTCGCACTTGAATCTATACTTTTACTTCGGGACATCACAAAGTGCCATGCACAAGTATAAATATGAACATTTACGTGTTGTCCTGGAACACGTTTAAAATGTGGACACCTATGTGATGCTTCTAATAAGCTGTAATGTTATCAGACATGGAAATAGAGAATATAAATGTTCTAGAGCTCCTCCACTCCTGAGAGAGAAGTGCAGGGCGATCAAAGAGCCGTCCGGGTTGGGTGTGCCGGAGGCAGAGGGTGGGGTGAGTGGGTGGAGGAGTCCAACTCCTGCTGGGACTGGGAAGGGATGTGATAAGGGTGACGTGGGAGGGAGAGTCCTGCAGCCACAGGGCAGCACCAGGGAGGCCCAGCTGCAGCGATCTCCCCACAAGAGGGAAGCTTCTAGAACAGAGGGAAGGGCTTGGGACTGCCCACTTCTATCCTGAATCACCAGGGCCAGATCAGAACAAGAGGAGATTCCAGGTCTATTGTGTTGAGGGAAATAATCTCCACCCATCACCTCTGAGATTCCCTGTATTCTGTACACCAACACGCAGTTGTAGTCACTGGTGAGGAGGTAAAGAGAAAGTTCCAGATGAATGCCTTAACATTTACGTGGGCAAGAGAAATACTTTTAAATGTAAAGGAAATTTTGAGTTGTTAGTGCTTGTCATTTTCCTATCCTTGTATCTTATAAGATATGTGTTATATATCTTATATTTTCTCTTATAAAAATATATTTTATATAATATTTTCTCCTCAATCTCATGTATTATATCTATATTCATATATAATGTGTGCATGTTAAATTGTGGTGTTCACAGCAGCAAGATTGCTTCACCAAATACTTAATACATTAAAATAGGTGTTTCCTCTTATTCAAGATATCCAAGTTGATTTCGGGCACTTAAATTTTTCAACTGCCCTAAATGCAGAATAGAAACAAATCTAACCACTTGTGAATGCTTACTTTGCTATTTATCAAACGATAGCTTACAGCAACTTTAGGAGATTTTGATTCAGCACATTTTCCTTTAGAATAGATCTCATAACCTGAAATGAGACATCATTCAACTTTTAAACCTGAAACACTTTGTAAACTTTTAAAAAGATACTCTTCTTTATTGGTTTTATGATATCCAGTCAAAGAGTAATGTGCAATGAATCTAATGGGAAGTCTTTCCCTTGAGGAGAGAGTCAAATGGAAACTTGTACAAAAGGACTAAATTACCCACAAAGCTTCAGAGTCTCTGGTGAGTGACTGTAAAAAAGTCGGTCTGGGTGAAATTTGGAGAATATTATTCCTAATGACGTCCTCCTTTTAGGCTGTGAAAGGGCAACAGCACCGGAGAGATTCGAGAAATCGCTGACTAAACACCACTGACCACACTTTCCCGCTTCTCCATCCTAGGTGCTGACGACCACCCAGCATCCTCTGAAGCAGCTGAATTTGGCAAATGATATGCAGGTTTTCCAAGACAGAGTAATTGCTGAAACCCTTCAAAGGTACTCGTATCAAATAATTATCTCTCGACTAATTGAACCAAGGCGCTAATGAACTCTGAGTGCTCCGTGTCCCTTGACGAGCGAAATGGTTCACGGAGGGGGAATTTTTAAGAAACAGAGGAGTCCTCCACTCTCCTGTGGCGTCATCCTTCTGGGGTGAAAGCTAGAAGGGACCTTAAATGTGGCAGAGCGATTTCATGAAATCGGTCTTCAGGAATGGCAAAAGAACCGTCTGAAAAATAGGTACTTAAAGAATATAGAACTCTGTTAACATGTCATGAGCTGTTTTAGGAAGCTCAGGGGAATTAGAGGGACAGTGACTGGCCGGCCAGCTACACCCTGTCATCTACAGACTCAAGAGTCCAAACCCTACAGCTGTCCCATCTCCTTCACAGCTCGCCTTTGCAGTTTCTTGCCTTGGCCGTATAATTATTAGCGCCAAGACTGCTGTGGGGCCAGGGAGAGTCATGGAGACCCACCTGAACAATACAACCCTGGTTGCAGAAACATTCTAGTGATCCTGGTTCACATGAGCTTACACCCCCAGGAGTCTTTTCTTAAATGTTAACATTGAAAGTAGCTCCCTTCCACCCCCAACCGAACCTAATGCAGTGGAAACTGTTGAGTTCCTCTTGATTTCCGTTGCGGCTCTTCAAAATCGTTGCCCTTTGTTTGATTTCATTTAAACCTTGTATTGGCCCTGGCTGGTGTGGCTCAGTTGCTTGGGCGTGGTCTGGGAAATCGAAAGGTCAGGGGTTCAATTCCTGGTCACGCCACATGTCTAGGTTGAGGGTTCATTCCTGGTTGGGCATGGAGGAGAGGCACCCAGTCCATATTTCTCTCCCTGTCTGCCCTGGCCATCTGCTAGCCAAAAGGTTTGTGGTTCGATTCCAGGCTAGGGGTGCATGTCTTGGTCTCGGGTTCGACCTGCGGACCAGGCACGGGCGGTGCCTAGTCTGGTGCATGTGGGAGGCAACCAATAGGTGTTCCTCTCTCTCTCTTCCTTCCTCTCTCTGAAGGCAAAAAAAGTCCTCAGGTGAGGATTTAAAAAAAAAAAAAACAAACAGTAAACCTTGTATTGGCCCTGGTTGACTTGAAAAACATTAATGAACCTCACACAACAAAACAAAAAGAAGTCTTCGACGAGTCTGGCCTTAATTTTAGGTTTGCCTTTTGAGGATTTATCCAACTTCTCTTTCCAATACTTATAGAATTAAACTTTTTTTCTTGTCTTCATACTACAAATGGCAAGTGGAGATGGGAAATGGCTGGAAGTACATGGGGGACTGCAGTTAGTTCCTTGACATAAAATCATGGCCACTGGCAGTCACCCCTTAATTCTGGAAGCTTTGTCTGCAGGTGCCGTGGGGAATCACCAGTTACGTATTGGATGCTGGTTATCCAGAAGTTCAGTCAGCAGTGAGAGAAGACATGCTGCAGTTTAGGGCTCCTTACTTCAGAACTCTGAACAGGAGAGGGATACCTGTTTAGGAATAATTTCAATAAACAACAGAACTGTGACTTCCTAAGAGTTCTTTCCTCAGCTTCTGGAGTCAGGTTTCCAACCCTTTTCATTGTGAATCTCTAGTCCAACACACCACGTTTTCTGTGGGAGAGAACGAAGCTGGCCTTCAGGATCATGCCATTCAAAATGAACTATAGAAGAGTCTGGAAAACCCTTAGTACTGGAATTCTCCTATACTTCCCAAGAGGCTCCTGGGAAGACTGCGTGTCTCAGTGCCATCTCTTGGCTTCTCCTGTGTACGGAGAAGCCACTTCTCTGGAATGCCATGTGGCTTAGTATCTTGCCAGCAATCTTTCCTTTCACACTTTGCTTCAGTGGGTAATTTCGCCACTTTAAACATCATGTCCTTTTCATTTCTCAGGGGGTTCTTATTGAGAAAATAGAAATGTGTTTAATATTGGATCAAGTTAAAATTGCTTATTCAAATTTAACATACACGACACTTTCTTTTTTCTTAAAAATCCATGGACCTCCAGTGCAAGCAGGCTTCAGTCTGCTTTTTCTGTCTCTGGACTGGAAAATGCAACCTAACCAGCTGCCCATGTCAGAGATCTCTGCCCCTCCTCATCTGTCATCTGAGAAGGATTAAATAGGTAGCTGAGTCACTTCCCACCACCGCACTGTATTCAAAGATCTTACAATCCTCCCTTTGGGGAAATTCTGTAGAAAGAAATTAGTCCTTTCTGTGTGTGCTCTGAACAGTCAGGTTTATAAAATAAGGACCACTTTAACGGTCCTTAGGGTTTCAAAATGCTGCTCTGTGCATTTTTGATTGCCTGTCTGCTCGTGTCACCTGGGTAATAAAGTTCTTTCATTTAATATTTTTCCAGCTTTAAAAACTGCTTACCTGCAGTTCGTTGAACTTGGCCTCGCCTCCAAAATACATAATGCAAGAAACAGAACCAGGAGATGCTTTAAGCAAATCTCAGAAGCTGCCCCAGCATCTCCTGGCTGTTCGATTGCCAGAAGATACTCTCCGGTTCCAAGCAGACATAGGTTGGATTCACATATAGCAAGACACCAAAAGGACAATTAAATTTCACAGCTTGGGGGAGATTTTGAGGGTTCTTGTCAAAAATGTTCACACCTGTGGAACAGACTGCTATTTTGGGGGAGCCTAGTTTTTGGCTTGACACATACCTGACAAAATCTGAGTGGCTGCTCTTGTACCTTCTGGACTCAAACACTGCCCTGCCAGACAAGGGTTGGGGTGCACAGATGGATGACTCAGAACAGCAACTATGTTGTGTGTAAGGAAATTAAGATGTTTCCTAGCCGTGTTCATGCCTACTTGAGATGGAACATTTTATCATGAGCCCTCCTTACTTGTGCCTCTCTGATATTTTTTAATGTTACTTTCATTACCGAAGTTCTACTCAATATATTAATTTCAATTGAAGTGATTTTTATAAAAGAGTTCATAGACTATAATACTGAAGTAAATCTTGTCAAGGACTCAATTTCTGATGCGGATCCTAAAAACTGCTAAAATTATCTTCATCTTGGTACCCAGGGAGCATTGAAGTCTTGGTGCAGAATATGAGGAGCTGAGTTGGGGTGCTCAGAAGCAGTTTGTGATCATTTCTCATTAACGTTTCTCGTTAAAGAGGGCAATTTATTACACAGAATCCTAATGTTAAAATAATGTATTTGCTGTAAAAACAATATACTATCTACCTAATAGGTAATTATTCAAGTGTTCAAAGAAACACACCTAACCCAAGCTTATGTCTTTTCCAAATGATTATATGTTATCTGGAATCATAGAATTTGCTGCTATTGGACTATTTTTGACCTACAAAAGCAGCAGATTCATACGGTACCACCTAAATTTTATATAATTGGAGTCTTGGAGGAGGTACAGTTTATTCTGATTTTTTCACTTACCCTTGTATCAAAACTGCATAATTTCTGCATTGTCTGCATAGTTCATATTTTGAATTCATGCATCAGGTTCACAATGGATGTGGATCGTGTAAATTGATGTGGGACATAATAGTTGATTTTGATTTTGTTCCCTGCAAAAGGCATCATAAAATACTCCACAGTCAATACCTTTCTTCGCACAGCCATTTTGTTTGGCTGCTTTTTTAATGCCAGTGTTGAAACTAGTGTCTTCTCCTGCATCCTCCTTTCAGCCCTCTGAAATGAAATACTTTCCCACGTGAGTCTGCTTACAAACCAAGTGCTAAAGCAGGCGTTCGTGTGCACAAGCGTATAGCTCTGCACACACATGTGGACGTAGTTAAATGGATCTGCTTGGATAATACATCCACAAAGCCGACCAGTTGGTGTTTAAAGAAAATACCAAACTCCAGAGGGATGGGCAGCATTGTCCTCAGCAGGCCGTGCGTGTCTTTAGCTGGGTCCTCTCCACTCTCGTCTGACTGAGACCTGTCCCAGCAGATGGCCCTCTGAGGATGCTTTGGCTGCCAATAAAACAGTGCTCTGTCTAATATGATGAGGAAACAAACCAACCAGAGGAAGACCCTTTGCTCTTGCTATAATAATGATACATACAGGCAGGAAGTTAAAGGAAAACAGCCATTTCCCTGGGGATGAAGGGTGGGGAGAGGGAGGGAGGGAATGAGCAGTTCAATTATGATGAGGGTGGGTGCTGGAGGACTGGGACAGTCACAAGTGGATATCAAGAAAAAAGAATGGGATGATGTCATTCTTACTGAGACAGTCTCTGAAATGAAATCAGGTCACGCACAAGGGTCTTATTCTGTGCCCAGGACCATAAGTGTTATAAGAGATTACTTTGTATTGTAGAAATGCTTTTTAGGAAGGGTCTAATGGCCCTGCTCACGGTAAGATAGCCCCAAGACATTTTCAGGATGTATATGAAGGGCAGAATCATTCCATCCAGTGCTGAAATAGCTTACACTAGGCTCACAAAGTTTGTTCAAGGTCCCTACACTGCGGTTTAGGATAGAAAAAGTGTCTGCATTCCTACAACACCGTGACTTTCAAGAAGCAGAATGCAGCCACACAACATGGTATCAGGCCAGATATTTTAAGTTGGTGCTTTTTTTGTAGGATAATTTTGAATGGCAATTTGAAGTTAAGACAGAATATATTTATCAATACAAAGTTGGCACTTCTTGAAAAAAAATACTGCCTTGTACCAAGTTAGGGCATTTTTAGGACTGATTAATTCTGCTTGCAGAGGAGGCGTTCGATCTGTGTTGATCTTAAGCTCCCAGAGGCCCAATGGGCAGATCTATTTGATTTTGGGTCCCTTCTCTCAGTGGTGTCCCAATTTTCCCTCATCCATTCACTCGGATTTCATAAGAGGTCATTGCCATTACAAATGAAGTTTAGCTTTTCTGAGAAGTTATCCCTGGAACAGTTAGGTGATAAGCTCAAATCCTGTTATTAAGATTCTGTTGTTTTTGTATTAATAGGGCTTAAAACAAGTAAGTCATTGAGGGAGGCTTTAATTTTTTTAGGGTATTTTTGCTGTGTGAGC